TGGACAATATCTGACGATTGGCTCTTTTAAATGAAACCAGAGAGCGTTAACAGAGAGCAGGTAGAAATGACTCAGTCTGCAACCCCAGCTTAGCCTATTAGCTTTAGTGTTAGCCTCGACGCTATCACCACATATATGTATTAGCTCAGTGCTACACATTCTCCTCTTGTCACTGAGGTCCTCCGTCCATATGACAGAGAGTGGAATGCAAAAATGACAGCCTGCAACTGAAAATATGGATGGAGGACCTCAGCTTAGCTTGTTAGTTTGTCGCGCTAGCACCGAGCAATACATATATAAGGCAGTATAGCATCGGCGCTAACGCAAAGGCTAACAGGCTGAGCTGAGGTTCTTCTTCCATGAAGCAGCTCTGTTGTCCTCCATTCACATTTTCAGTTACAGGCTGAGTCCTTCTCCTCTCTGTCAGTGCTTTCTGGTTTCAGTTAAAAGAGCCAATCATCAGATATTGTCCAAGTTTAACCTTCAGGGTGGATACAGCTCGCTAGCAGCCCCGAACCGATGACCTATCCATGTCATCATTTACCCAGAGTGTTTTGTGTAAATAAAATGGTTCAATCAGTGTTAAAATATATTTTTAAAAATTTACAAAACTAAACAGCCTACAGTATTTTTACAGTCTTTATTTTACAGTTAAAATATATGTTTATCAAATAAAGTCTAATGTCACAACTAATCGGGGATCCCTTTAACCTTTGTATTGTTTTATGAAACCTGTGCTGTTATTCTCAGCTTCAATTCCTGTTTGGTTAAGTGACTTCATAATGGGGAGGTTGTAAATATAGACTTTTTCAGTTTGTGCATGCATGGCTTGCAACAACTACGCACATTTATTGTGTGTGCCATGTGAGACAAGGTAATTGATAAGGTGTGAGGTTGCCTCATTTATTTCTTCAGTCCCACCTCTGGTTAAATGACTTCTGAGATCTTAACAGGGAACAGAGATTAGACAGCTGCAAGCTGCTGTGAGTTTGTGCTGGCTGATTGATGGCCCCTTAAAATTGTTGCTCATGTCAGTTGTCTAGTTTTATTAGATCTAGTACCTGGTGATTGTCATACCTCTGTGTTAAGAAAAGAATGGGCAGGTGTGCACAAGTGGCAAGCAGATGTCAGCTAAAGGTCATGACCTGACTGGAGAACATTCTTTAACTTGATGAAGATGGCTGACATGTAAAAGACCTATAAGATGTGTGGTTCACAGGTGCAAGGGGTGCTTTAATGCTATGCTTCATGGCTTGCCCTCCTGCCCCAACGTTCTAAACAAATTCTCTGCTTAGCTCCTCTGTCACAGACCTCAGGCTTCCACTGCCTCATGACTCTATTATCAGATTCTTTAAATAGAAGTGGAGCTGTCTGGTCTGCTCCTGCTGTTGTAGAATAGGGCAGGAGTTAATGTGGTGGTCTCACCTCAGGCTGAGGAGATAATTGACTACAAGACCTAGGCTAATGGTGCATTAGATGGCAAAGCAATTAAATGCTCTGATCATTATAGCTATACCATTTCACACACGCATATTCACTATAAATTTAGAAGTATGAGTCACACTTAGAAATTACATGGCCAGTTGTATACCTTAGCCAAGCTAAGTTGTATTTTAGCAAACAAGAAAGGAAAAACTTTTGCCATTGAAATACAGTTTGGGCTAGATTAAGATTGCTCTTAGTTCCTGTTTGAATACGTCTGAGCAGGACTAAAGGTTGAAAAAAATGTGTCAAATTAAGAAAAGCTTTGAAAAAAGAATAAAGACCTGTTTTGTAACGCAAAAAATAGAATAGGGAAAAATTGCCTGTAATTTTATAAAAAGAACAATGTGCCATTCTTTGGTCAAGACTGGAGTTCATTGAACAGATTGTTGCTTTCAGAAACACTCCTAAGATGCAAACACTGTCGGAAAAAATGGAACTGAAAGAAACACAGGTGTCAGTGTCTCATACAGCTCAGAAAAATACCAAGTTAAATGTAAAATATAAAAAAATGCAAAGTTTTGTAATATTTTAAAAGTAATTCAAAATGTATTAATAATTTGCTAGCCGAAAAAAACATTGATGCTTAAGGGATTAGTTGGTAATATGTCCGTAATGGTGTTTTTTTTTCCATCTACTCAACTTCAATTTCCACTCAGACACATTTCCATTCAATAGTGGTGAGTGGAATCTGTTAATAATTTCAGTATTTGAAACTATGGCAACTCCCAACACAACAACTTGTCTTTGTGTGTTTTATATTTTATTATGTTTGTTTAACACATACTTTAAGCCAACTTAAAAATTAAATGTTTAGAAGTATGTAGAGTGGTTCTACCATTGAGTGAGTGTACAACAGGTTTTTAGTCATGAAATGTTTAAATATTTTAGGTGTAATCACAACTATTGAGCACGTCAGATTTCAGCTCTAGTCAGCAAGGGTAAAAGATCAATCAATTTATTTTGCATCCTGATGTATTATTCATACGTACAATGTACAGGCTGTGCACAAAAAATGACATTTTCTACTTAAATTTTAAAGCCAGACATCTACATAGATATTAGCTAGTAATAGCTAATGCCCAACTAACTTGTACATGGATCATCACCAGTAATGTTGAATGATATCACAGCATGTTAAATGTGGTTTTAAATCATTTGCAAATCAGTTTAGTTTTTATGTTTTCTACAAAGTTCTATACTCAATATTCAGCTGTTCTGAAAGGATTGCATAAAGGTGTATTTTGGACCTGGGAGATTCATTTTGGACAGATCCTTTGGTATATTTTTGGCTTCTTGCCTAAAGTTGAGGAAGTCGAGTGTCCCATTTTTGAGGGAATGCCTTACCCGGTGTAGAATTAAATTGGGTAGAAAAAGCATGTGCCTGTATGTTTATGCTTGAGTTATCTTGTACACATATGTAGATTATGATATGCGGCACTTCCTTTGAAACTGTCTAGTTATAGTTCTGACATCAGAGTGTTATGTACTTGTGTACTAGAGGCCATGGAAATGGACTAAAACTGAAAGTCTCCAAGCACACTGCCATTAAAAATGGCACTTACAAAACACTTAAACAAAATATCTTTAATTAGAAATAATTTCTTACTTCGCATGACCTATTTGTCAATTTTAATGACCACTTTTCTCTCCAATTATTTTAGCTTCTAGCCTTCCGGATTCAAACATGGACAAGAATATTTTTCCTCTTTTAGTGGCTGAGGCTATCACTGCTTTTGTGAGGCAGAGTTTAAAGTGATCCCTGATTAGTTGTAACATTAGACTTTATTTGATAAAAAATATTTTAACTGTAAAATAAAGTAAGTAAGTAAAAGTTTATTTATATAGCACCTTTCACAGACACAGAGGGTCACAAAGTGCTTTACAAAGGTGCAAAGTTATACAGAAAGGTAAAATAAAAACATCAGCAAAAACATAAAACACTAGCTAAGAAACAGATAACACACTGGAATTGTTAAAAGGCTTCATAAAAAGAAAAGTTTTAAGTTTGCTCTTAAAGGCAACCACAGAATCAAGTGCACGTATTGAGAGTGGAAGATCATTCCAGAGCCTTGGAGCGACGGCCTGGAAGGAGCGATCACCTCTAGACTTAAAGTGAGCAAAGGGGACTGTCAAACGATTCTGATCTGATGACCTCAGCCCTCGAGAGGGTAAATATGGACACAACAGGGATTTAACATATAAGGGAGCCTGACCACGGAGAGCTTTAAATGTTAGTACCAGGATTTTAAACTTAAAACGAAAACCCACTGGGAGCCAATGGAGTGATTTTAGAATGGGGGCAATATGAACCCTTCTGTTGGTGCGGGTCAACTCCCTTGCTGCTGCATTTTGTACCAGCTGTAAACGAGACAACTCCTTATTAAGACAGGAGAAAAGGCTATTACAATAGTTTAAACGAGAGGACACAAAAACATGAATGATCAACTCTAAATCATCTTTGGAAACAACTCTTCTAAGTTTGGAGATATTTCTAAGCTGTAAAAATAAAGACTGTAAATATACTGTAGCTGTTTAGTTTTGTAATTTTTAAAAAAAATATTTTAACACAGACAGGGCCATTTTATTTACACACAAAGTATTCTGGGTAAATGATGACGTGGACAGGTCCTCGATGTGAGCGAGCTATATCCACTCTGAAGGTTAATCTTGGACAATATCAGACGATCGACTCACAGACCTTCTCTCGCTGACAGAGAGGTCAGCTTATAACTGAAAATGTGGATGGAGGACAACAGAGCTGCTTCATGGAAGAACCACCTCAGCTTAGCCTGTTAGCCTTTGCGCTAGCCCCGACACTATATTGCCTTATATGTATTAGCTCAGCACTAGCGCAACAAACAAGCTAAACTGAGGTCCTCCATCCATTTTTCAGTTGCAAGTTGAGCCATTTTTGCATTCCCCTCTCTGTCATGTGGATGGAGGACCTCAGTGACGAGAGGAGAATGTGTAGCACTGAGCTAATACATACATATGGTGATAGCGTCGGGGCTAAAGCTAACATGCTAAGCTGAGGTTCTTCTTCCATGAAGCAGCTCTGTCCTCCATCCATATTTTCAGTTGCAGGCTGAGTCATTTCTACCTTCTCCTCTCTGTCAACGCTCTCTGGTTTCATTTAAAAGAGCCGATCATCAGATATTGTCCAAGATTAATCTTCAGTGTGGATATAGCTCGCTAGCAGCCTCGCACTGATGACCTATCTACTTCATCATTTACCCAGAATGCTTTGCGTGTAAATAAAATGGCCCTGTCCGTGTAATATATTTTTAAGCTTTTAGTTTAAAAATTATAAAAACTAAACAKCCTACAGTATTTTTAMAGTCTTTATTTTACAGTTAAAATTTATGTTTATTAAATAAAGTCTGATGTTACAACTAATCGTTTATCCTTTTAAGTGTATTTGGATTTTATTACTTCAGCTTGCTGAAAAGTCTAATGAGATCCTCTTCTCATTCTGGTTTGTGTTTCTCTGCTTCTCACCTTCTACTGACAAACAGCTGGCAGGTCGTGGAACCAAGGAGAACAAATGTTCCATGAAGGCAGTGGAGGAGATGTTGGAGTCCATGCAGATCACCATGTCTTAGATATTTCTAGCCACACATTTCTTCTGCCCTCTTAAGTTCGAGAAACATGGCAGCTCCAGAAGTCATTGCAGTTTGTCCAAAACTTGCTTTTAAATTGATTTTGTTGTTGTTGATCACAATCCCTTTTTTAGTTTTCTGTAAGGGTTTGATTTTGACATAAAAAATTTGAGACATTTATAACCTACACAAAAAACTTAACCAAACTCTAGGCAGTCCTAACCCGATGCAAACCAATCAGACAGAGCCATACTGTCGCATCTCAGTCATAAGATCTTGTTAGTGACTGATGTCCCATTAACTGTAATAAGCTAAAACAATGTGACAGAAAAAGTTGTATAATAAATGCTCCTTACAAAAGACAATGTGGAACTCTCTCCTGTCATTTTTTTGTGTCCATGCTGTTTGTAAATTGAACTAATAAACTTTTAAAAGTCACCAGTTTGCCTATGTGATTGTACAATTAAATATGATTCTTTAAATTGATGAAAGTAATCATGTAAATAAACTGGCATTACTTGAATTTCCACTAAAATGTATGAATTATATACATAAAAGAAGGAAGTCTTTTTGTCAGAAAAAATTTCATGTTAATTGGCTGTGAATGTCAACTGAATCAACAACAGTACTCTTAAGATCAAACTGTTTTCAAAGGCCTAATGTAATTAGACAATTCTGTTCTTGAACCTGGGAAGAGAGGTGGTTTATGGGAAAGAGACACCTTTAAAGTAAACTGAGGAGGTTGCTTCTATTTGATTTGCCTTACTAGTTTAGCAGAACCAATGAAAGCCAGGCAAGGTTCAAACATGAACTGATTAAGTGTTTTTAGAGGCGGGAAAGACCTTTTTGAAGTTGCAGAATAAAAGCCATCTGATTTGAAATATATTTTAGGAAGTCATTTACATGTAATTATTGCTATATTTATTGCAAGACCATGTAGGGCCTACAAACTTGTGAAAAAGGACTAAAGTTACCAAAGAGACTAAAGCTGGATTTTGATTTGATAGGAGTCTTAAACATCTCAATATGTTAGTGTCAGTGTCAGTCAATCTGAAGCAATAGTGCCATCTGCAGTTTAGTTGCGCTCACAACAATGGAAACGTCCTGCTGGAAGTGAGCAACAGCCACCAGGCAAATGTAGTTCATTTTGAACTCTGTAAATAATATGCTTAAAATAAAAGTAGTAACAGCACCGTTGCTTCAGCATTTCAGATTAAACAATGACTCACAGTGTCACTTCTTAGAGTTTGTTGGCAATAATTGAAACATTTGTCTAAGACAATTGGATATTCTCTACACCTTAAGACGTGACAGTACCACAACCAAAAGTTGTAGACCAGTATTCTCAATCATGCTGCATGTATTAATTTATTTGCACAAATTGTAATAACTTTATTAATTATTTCTGATTAAGGTCAATTGACAGCTGAAAATACATTTAGAAAATCAGACAAGTTCAGGCTGCTAAGATCTGCATATTGCAGTATATGGTTATATACTGTACTTGAGCCACCAAGTTGGGTTACATCAATGTTTAGCTCATTTTGTTTATGCTCCCATTCTGTCACACCACATGTAAGCAGGAAGATGTACATGCATGATCAGCTTTTTTTGGTAACGATCTGAATTGGTCATCAGATTTTTTTTTCTTAAAGCTATTTATGGTTTCTAGAGGAAACTCAGATTGCACCACCAGCAGTGAAATACCTTAAATGTACTGTATTTTGATGGACTAATTAATTAATTTAATTTTTGCAGAGGTCACTGCTGCATTGGGATCAGTCAACGTTTTAGGCATCATTCTGGAGGCTTCATGTCAAGTTATAAGTTAAGCTTTTTTGGTCTTGCATAAGCTTTTATTTCATGAAAGAAATACTGTAGCTGGAAGGAACATGGTTTGTGCAAGATCCAAACAAGAAGTGGAGGAATGAATTAAGGATGCCATGCCCAATCACCCATGTGGATGCCACATGTTCTAATTTCTGTCCTTTAAGGAGTGAGTTACAACCATGGAGGTATAGAACTACAGTGGGGTGCGAAAGTTTGGGCAGCCTTGTTAATTTTCCTGATTTATCTTTATAAATCATTGATTGTTTGGATAAAATAAATCAGTGAACTATATCATATAGGAGGCAAACATGTTTGAGAAGTGAAATGAAGTTTATATGATTTACAGAAAGTGTGCAATTGTTTAAAATTAGGCAGGTGCTTAAATTTGGGCATTGTTGTCATTTAATTGATTTCAAAACCTTTAAAACTAATTATTGGAACTAAAATTTAGTTTGGTAAGTTCAGTGACCCTTGACCTCTATACACAGGTGACTTCAATTATGAGAAAGGGTATTTAAGGGGGGCAATTGTAAGTTTTTCTCTTTGCATCTTCTCTGAAGAGTCGCAGCATGGGAGTCTCCAAACAACTTCCAAATGACCTGAAAATAAAGATTGTTCACCATCATGGTTTAGGGGAAGGATACCCCAGGTGAAAAAGAAGTATACTTAAGCTGTACTTTATCTTGATGTATTTATTGCATTTTAATTGTATTGTACTAAGTGTATATTAAATGTGTTATTTTGGAACAACTTAAAGAATATTAACTAATCTTTTAACTAATACTTAAACTCAACTTTAGGATACTTGCAATATATTTTAGTGTACTTAATTGTGTTAAAATGGAACCACTTTAAGTATATTTAATTTAGCTTAAATATACATATTTAAAATATATCTAAAATACACTTTGTGCTATACTTGAAGAACACTTTAAATATATTTTAAGCTTTACATAAATGTATTTTCAACGTATTTTAATTCGACTGTCAGATCATTATAAATGCACTGTTTATATACTCCAAGAGCAACTATTAAGATACTCTGAAGCTTTATAAAACTATTCAAGATGCTCTTTTAGCACAATAAAAAAGACATTAAAATGTATTTTAAAACATTCAGATGTCTTCAAAAATTTTAATATCTTTTAGATTACAAAATAAATTTTCTGTACATTAAAAGGCACAGCAGCATGTTTGAAATATTGATTGAAACATTAAACTAAATAAAATCTGTAAAATTATTTTACGTAGCCAGTAGTATTGAAAAGTACACTATTTACATAAATCACATACTGTAAGAAGGCCACTTTTAAGGTTTCTGCTTTAAAAACAACTAACAAATCATGCAGAAATAACTAAAGTGCATTTCATTCCAAACTTTACATTAAAAACACAGCCTAAAACCGTTTAAACCAAACGTTTAAACAAAACACTTCACAATTTGTCCTTCAAGGAACAGGGGATCTGTCAGTTTTATTTGAGTTGGTCTTGTTTTCTGCGAATGAGGGCACTTGCTTCAGACACTGAGGTTGGGTGTTTGGAAACTGCTTTATTACCATGTCTGGAAAGGAAAAACAAAAAACACTTTGTTAATATAAAAAAACATATTAACAACACTCTTATCAACTAACAAGTCTGCTCTGAATCAGAAATGGCCTTAACTTGTATAGAGCTTTATCAAGTCCTGTTGGACTCCAAAGCACTTTACACTTTAATCATACACACACTGATGATGGCAAGCTACACTGCAGCCACAGCTAAATAGTTTAGTAAAACAACATGACATGTCTGCTACGTTCACACTGCAGGCCATTTGTACAGTGGTTTTAGGTTAGTGAAGCATGACCTAATTTAATTAGAAAAGCTTTATCCCCTTCAGGACACGCCAAACGAAATAAAATTCCTGCCTTGGAGGGGGTCACGTGACCGAGATCCGAGATGGCAGCATGGTAAATAGCTCCAAGGATAGTGTTCGAAATTTCCTTTTAAAACCCTTGCAAAAGCTGTTAATAAGTGCGAAATCTTTTCAAAAAGACGCAAGACAGCCAACAAAACAACACCGAGTCCAACGTGCAGTGACGACACTAATATGGCTAGCGTAGCTGAAGTGCTGAAAGAGCTAAAATCACTCCGGTCGGATTTTGGAGTCAAGCTGGATAGCATAAATGAAAGACTGACTGGGATGGCGAGCGCTATGACTGCGCTAGAGGCTAAAGTGTCAGAGGTAAAACAAGACCTATTAAACCAGGCGGCTCATATGGAGGAGGCCGAGGCCCGCATTGCCTAAGTAGAAAGCTCGCTCGAAAAAGCCGAAACATCACTGACTTCGGCAATGAAACGAATCCTGCTCCTTGAGGCTAAAACAGATGACCTGGAAAACCGAGGTAGACGGAAGAACCTGCGTGTCTTTGGCATTTGAGAAGGAGCAGAGGGAAGACAAACATTTTTTGACTTTATTAGCAACATGCTACCGAAATGGCTGGAGCTTGCACCGGACAAATCATTCACACTGGAGCGGGTACACCGCACACTAGCCTCCGGGAAACCAAACCAGAGCAGAGCAGTTCTGATTCGCTTCTTAAAGTTCCCGGAGACGGAATTTGTGTACCGAGAGGCAAGGAAAAGAGATATTATACAAGATGGGGCCAAAATCATGTTTGCACAGGATCTGTCTGCGGAGACGGTACGGATCAGACGCAGGTTTCAACCGTTGGTGAAGCTGTTTGTTGACATCGGCGCATTTTGTGGATTCCAACACAACCCCTGCAAACTTCGGATCCTCCATGGTGTAAAGATCCATCTCTTCTCAACGCCTCAAGAAGCTGACATTTTTTACAAGACTCTTCCAAAATAAAGCACAGCAGATGCTTTTGACTCAGTGAGTCATGAAAGACATACTGGTTAAGAAACGGGTAAACTGATAAGACATTTCATGTGGACATTCCTGTTCCAATAGAGCTGCTCAGTGACTGGAACATAAGCAGAATAAGTTCTTAGTTCTAAGTTAATGGGCAATTCATGTAAACTTAACTGCTTTTATGTGCCCACGTATTCTAAGCCTGATTTGAACTGTTTTTTGGAATTTATGCTAAAAGTTAAGCCTTAAACGAGTTATTATCGTTCTATCAAGGGCTAATGGTAATATTTTATTTTTATAGTTAGTGGACACTGTCTACTGGGTGGAGTTTTGGTGAGGTCACGTTGACTAGTTGCTCCTCAGTGGTGTGGATCAACGGCCTCCGGATACTTCATTGGGGGGGGTGGGGGGGGCATTTCAGACAAAGGAATGCAAAAGTTCAGTTGGGGATTGTTCATAAGTAGTTCTGTATCTTGTATGGTTGAATGTGTGAATGTATGTGTAAACCTGCATTTTCAGTACTATCTTTACCTACCTACTTTATTTTAGTGTAACAGTAAACTAAAAATTTGATATGGAGAAGACAACCAAAGGAAATATTTTAAATATCAAAATTACAAGCTGGAATGTCAGAGGAATAAGAAAACTAACTAAACTGAAACAAGTATTAGACCGACTAAAATATTTGAAATCTAAAATAGTTTTTCTACAAGAATCCCATTTGATTGAGCCAGAAATATATNGGGGATTG